TCCGAGAGAGAGCTCAATGACGCAATCTCACCACGAGGCGCCGACGGTGCAAATCGAACGCTTGACCGCACACACACACATTCACACTCGCTTACCTCAGTGTAAACACTGCAAAAAAATTCTGAAATTTAAGACATGAAAATGTCTTAAATCTAATAACATTTTGAAATGATGTGAAAACTGAGATGTGAAAAGTGCTATACTTAATTAAATTTACAAAAACTAAAATGAAAAGTAATAAATAGTTGGTAAATTTCAGAACCACTTTTAAAACTTAGGAACTGGGTTGTCAAAATTAAGATTGCCTGCCAAAAGTAAAAATTGGTTTCTTAAAATCCACATGGCTGATGACTTTTCATAACTAGATTTCTGAAACTAATTGAAGGTAAAGTTGAACGCTTCAGTGATAGCTATCTCATTCAACGTAAACCGAAGGTTTAGTTTGATTAAGGGAAGGTGGGGTACCATGTGACGGTTTTTTAAGTGCCCGTCAACCCAATACTACCAATCACATTACATCCATAAGTAGTCATGTGAACAAAATGATTCTTCACCTTAAAATTTCTGTTGAGATTTCTAATTTATCTGTTTTGGTTGCTGAGTTATCCCGAGTTGAATGGGCCAAGTCAAAGTGTCACTTCGTACCCCACGTAGTACACTATGTGACAGCCTTAGTGCACCATGTGACAGTGGCCTTTTGTCAGGGTTTTAATCCTATTCAGCGTACCTATACGCAAAGAATGAATGAAGAAGTCTTCCAGCTTTTTATTTCCGTTGAGTTTATCAATTAATCATCTTTGGTTCCCGAGCAATGAAGGTTTTAGTTATTAGTGTACAAATGTCATGGGCTGAACACATTCAACTGAGTGAATCGTGGAATCCCATAGCGAATGACAGTAGTGTCACATGGTGCCCAGATCAACAGCCTTAGGGGAAACAGCAATAACGCTCAAAGTTTATGCCGCAGAGAATCGAGCCAAAGCTTATTTTGCGCTTAAAACATCAAAGAAGAACATCTTGCAGAGCATATGTCCTTAAAATGTATTTTAAAGGTAAAAAGCGGACGCGGCGGGAAATAGAAAAAGTTTCTCGAGGGGGTATGCACTCGCGTAATAGTCGGTTCACTCTATCTGTAATAGCACGCGTAATAATACGCGTAATAGTCGCGTAATAGCCGAAATTGACAAAATTTTATCAATTTTGGTGTGTTTTAGGCCGTTTTTAGCTAGATTCCGATTAATTTGTGGCGTAATGGAGCGTAATAGCGTAATAGTCGGTACACAGGTTCAGAGAGCGCATACCCCCTCGAAGTTTCTAATGAGCTATTTTAAGACTATTTCCAATTCTGATCGCTACCATTCCCGTCCTTTTCGAAGGAGAGTCACGACCTATTGCACGTCGATTCTCCTTCATGATACCTTCCTTTGAGTCTTATTACCGCTGTTGGATAGCAAGCCGTTTGGGAGAAAAAGCCAAAGTCACATGGTGGCCGTGTCACATGGTACCCCACCTTCCCTTACTTCACGTAAGTAAATGTCTTCTTTAGCCGCTAGCTCAAATTTTTTTAACAAAATATTCCACTGAAGTTGAGAAAAACGCACAGCCATGTTGCCACTCGCTGGCGTCTGCTCTCGGCCATTAGGTTAGGTCCAGGCACCTCCTCTGCTGCGAGGGTCAGGTGGAAGACATACAAGTCTCAGGACTTCTTGCTTCGACTAAGTTTTGACAACCGACACTGTTATGTGACACGATGTAAGATGCATTTCAGAATTCGGACATCCTCATCCGAAATCGGACGTCGATATAGAAGTTCTTTTCTCCCACGTTAGTCAAATATGTTAATGAATTTTCATAAACCATAATCTATGAATTTTAAAAACTTGGTCATTAGTTTCAAGAGGAGAAAGTTTCTTACTTTTAATAGCAAAAAATCTTTGTAAACTGCTTCACAAACTAGTTTCTTAAAATTAAGATGGATTATTTTTGCAGTGAAGAGCATCTGATACTCTAAGCTCCTAAACCTCTTCCTCGACATTTGATGAAGTGGCACTCATCTCAGGCTCAATGTATGTTGCCTCCTCCACCTCGAAATCCGGCACGAATGAACTTTCGTAGTCCATTCTTACGGAAGCTGGGGCAACAACTGACTGGACCGGCTGGGGCGGAAGGATGCAGGAAAGGGTAGTACCGCTTGCGGCCGGCAGAGGGCGCACCGGTCGTTCTAACGGCCGGCCAAATTCAAATAGGGGTCATTTCATAAAAGATTTGCACGGATCTGGGTGACCTTTGACGATTTCGACCAAATTTGGCACGAAGGTAGCCCTAGTGGTCAGGAACATGCCCACAAATTTTTAGGTCGATATGTCAAGTGGTTTCGTCAGAATCGACATTTTAATTTTTAACTCTTAAAAATCTTGTAATTTCTTCAAATTGGCTCAACAAGGCTATTTTTTGTCCGATTTTTATGCGGTAAAGCTATTCTGACGTAAAATGCGATGAGGAATCCGAATCTGCCCTCAGATTTGGTCTAGCGTGATAACCAGTGGAGTAAATTGCGAAAAACATGAAAATGAAGCCATATTTCACGAGCCTGCGTACCCTAATAGAAAATCCAAATCTGCACTTCCGACCAAGCTAAATTGTAGTTCAGTTTATGGGCTTTCCATATCTGTATTCAAAAATAGTGGGTGTGGCCCTCCCTTAGGAGCTGTAGGCCCCAATAAACAACTCTGCACTCAAATTTTAGCTACGCAAAATACACATTTTTGAGCTTTATAGCTCAGGGTGATGAGCTATACGCTCCATCATCTGGTACCATAATCTATAGGTAAGCCAATGAAACCTGGCTGGTTCCTTTCTCATTACACATGCCAAGTGGCCAAGGAATGCGACATTCAAAGTTGACAAAAGTTTCAAATCGCTATAGAATCTGAACGGTTTGGAGTTGCTAAAAAAAATTGCAGAGCCACTCAGGGGGTCATCCTGAGTGGATTGACACCTATTTTGGCCAATTCCATCAGGGCAGGTTGCGGGAGGGGGGCGGGGTAGGGCGAGGGGTAGGGCGAGGGATAGCACGGGTACAGCTAGACATCCCAAGAGAGACGGTAAGACTGCGCGCCAGAGTGGCTGCCTACCTCCACGGGGCGTCAGCCGATTCGCGCGCACAGGTTCAGTAAAATTGAGAATTCTTGTGTTTAGAGGCCGAAACCCAACTTTTTCTATACACAAATCGAAAGCTTATGAAATTTCTAGTAAGCGAGTACACATTTGACAAGTTAAAATGCTGCCGTTTACTTATTTTCTTAATTGGAAAAACTTGTAGTGCAAATTTTCAGTTTTAGAGGCATTTTTGCGAAGTTTGGCATCCACTTACCCGATCGGGCTCATATTGGTACCGTTAGATTCGTCTTAAAATTCCCTTTCGAATGGTATAAGCGGCATGCGTATAGCTCATCACCCTGAGCTATAAAGCTCAAAAGTGTGTGTGGGTGATTCCGTGCGTAGGGGGTCATTTCAGGTCACCGGGGCCTTGCGCCTGAACTGAGGTTGATTTGGTAGCTTGGGCAATTCAAATTTGTTTTACTAAACGAAGACCATGTCCTCATGTGGATAAGTCGATCTAACTTTTGTTTATCTGGGTTTCGTAAGCTGCTAAAGTGTCGTTTTGTAAGGTCCGTCATGGTCACCAACACCTATAAGACAACATTGCCATGCTGTAGTATATGACTCAGCCACTTCAAAAGAAAACTGGCTATTTCACTCTCTCCCCTGACTTATTCTTCACAAAATTACGGAGGGTGACCTTTGTATCATCAATTGTTGAACCCGAAACAGCCTTTGGGAAAATGTCCACCGTGTGACCATGTGACCTATGCTGTTTTTACAAATGACGGTCTACTGGGGTTCCTTCTCATTTTAGAAACTCGCGACCGCTTGGGATCGAAAGAACATTAAAAACACTTCCAGAAGCCCGTGCCCACGGGACCTGGGGCGGTCAAACGACGCTTCCAGGCCGTCAGAAGAGTTCAAAACGGTAAGGGTGTAAAAATTGATGTAAATTCCGTTTCGGGCCGTAGCTCCTCCATCTGAGGGAGGAAGTTCCCACAACCTTCGCTGAAAAATGCTATTTTGGATGCTGAAAATGACACCGTCAACAGTTTTTACCTATCTTGTAACCCAGCGGTTCAGGAGACTAAAAACTTCGCTTTGTAAATTCCGTAATCTGTAAATTCCGTCATTATTTCTGTAAATTCCGCCGTATTTCATAGGGAGTGAAAATAAAAGTCAACTTGTAGCGCTGCCACGCTCAGAGGGGTACTGTGGGGTACTATGTATGCCATCTACACCAAATTTAGCCCCTAAAGTTGAACTTTAAAAAAGAACATTTGGTACATCCAAAATGACCCCCTACGCACGGAATCACCCGTATGTCGCGTAGCTAAAATTTGAGTGCAGAGTTGTTTATTGGGGCCTACAGCTCCTAAGGGAGGGCCACACCCACTATTTTTGAATACAGATATGGAAAGCCCATAAACTGAACTACAATTTAGCTTGGTCGGAAGTGCAGATTTGGATTTTCTATTAGGGTACGCAGGCTCGTGAAATATGGCTTTATTTGTATGTTTTTCGCAATTTACTCCACTGGTAATCACGCTAGACCAAATCTGAGGGCAGATTCGGATTCCTCATCGCATTTTACGTCAGAATAGCTTTACCGCATAAAAATAGGACAAAACATAGCCTTGTTGAGCCAATTTGAAGAAATTACAAGATTTTTAAGAGTTAAAAATTAAAATGCCGATTCTGACGAAACCACTTGACATATCGACCTAAAAATTTGTGGGCATGTTCCTGACCATTAGGGCTACCTTCGTGCCAAATTTGGTCGAAATCGTCAAAGGTCACCCACGTCCGTGTAAATCTTAAATGGAATGACCCTTCATCAACCGTGATAGTTTTCCCCCGTTCGGCAACCGTGTACGGAACTGAACGCGTTTTGAGCCTACATTTCTCGAGGAAACGCACTTATTCCTACTAAACATTATTTTCTTATTTTCCAGGAAACGACGACACGCGTGTCATTGATATGGACATAAGTGACGATGAGACCACGGTATGACGGTGATTTCATTATGTTTGTTATCTGACGTAAAGATTCCATAAGAACTTACACTGCAAGCTTGAGTCGAAAGGGGCAGAAAAAAAATAATTATGGCGTTCGAATTTTCCACAGTTTGTGTACATTGGTAAAAGTTAGGCGTCGTTTTACGCCTTTCTTGAAGCGTACAAGAGCTCATGCGTTCCTTTCCTCCTATCAAAATGCATCTAAATGCACGGGGGAAATCATCTTGAAGCGTAGTTGTACCTACTTCAAGAAGGGCGTTAAGTCTTGAAGTGTAGTTCTGCGCTTGAATGAAGCGTAGAACTACGCATTAGTTTTACCAGTGTAGCCACAATTTGGATGGTGCCTCGATAAATAAAGTTGCAACTAATTGTTGGTACTCTTAGCGATTAGCTAACGATGCTATTGGCACTGCCCACGCATAAGACTATTTCATTCACGGCTTGTTCCAGGTTGAAGCAGGCTATGTGGACATCGACCATTCTCTAGTGCCAATGGATGTGGAAGAGAGTGACGACGAGGAGGTAAGCTTCGATCTTGTAATCGTAAGAGGGCGATGACCGGCCGGAGGAAAGGAGTGGGGGGGGGGGGAATTAACGCAACGCAACACCACAAAATTGGTCGGGAACGCATTGTTCTGGTTATATTAAAGATTCTAGTTGCAGGATCCCGTGTGAGTGTTTCTTGGCATTTGAACATTTTAGGCTGGACCATCGGCTGCTGAAATCCATAACCCACAGCCACGACAGTGGTGGGATCGGCCGCGGGTTCTGGATGAAGACAGCGAGGAGGAGTCGGTGGAACTGCCCGAGGAGCAGCTTCAGCCCGTGGAGGAGCCTGAGGAGGAGCCACTGACAGGCCCTCAAGACATGGCCCAAGGTGGGTAATAGTCTGGGAGCGGATATATAGTAATTTGGTGTGTTCTCCTGGACACAGTCGTTACACGGTAAAGACGGTACTTGGTTTTCCTAGGAAGCCTGAGACATAGGCGATTTCCAGGGAGTTCCTGGGAAAATCAGGAACCGTTTTTACTGTGTATCCAGAGTGTACACAAGCTAGGGTAGATGGGGTAGATGGCCGTTCCAGAAATGGGTCGTCGCTTTTTTAAAAATGTGGACATTAAATTTCCAAAAATAAAATGTACGTTCTATGACGAAATACCGGTGTTATACACTGTGAGAAAAAAGTATGGAAAAAGTACGGAACACGTCTGGTCAATAATTTGCCTGGACCGCCCGTACTTGCCAACTACGGAACGTTCCGTACTTTTTTACCGTACCCATTTACATGGGTTCATATGGAGCAAGTGCGGAACGTTCCGTACTTTTCTCCGTACCTCCGCACTATATTTTTCTGTACCATTTCCGTACAACCGCACTTGCCTTATCGGGAATTTTTTCATGTTCCGTAAAATATTGACTTTCCCAGGTGTATCGATTTGCATGGTGACTCTTGTTACAGGAGAGAACTTGGTGCCAGCCCCTCCGCGCCCAGGCGATCAGCGGCCACGACCTCCCCGCTCTCCACCGCCACCCGCACCTTCACCGCCACCACGGCCAAGAGGTACGCTGACGCCGTAGTATGGTTACAGAAAAAAATGAGTCCGCGTATTTAGCCAGTGCCAGAGTGGTGAGCCATTTCTAACGTACCGCGAAACGGGGTAACTTCGGACACTTTTGATAGGTTTTTTTGAAATTGTGAAAGTTGTGGTGATGTCATGGACTTGAGGGTTAAAATTTATCATCTACCCACCTTTAGCTTCGTTTTGGCGCTTATTTCAATTATCTGCACCTCACCGTTTTTACAGTGGAGGGTCCGAAGCAGTGTCCGAAATTACCCCGTGTTTTGGGGTAATTTCGGACACCCCTGGAAAAAACGACTTTTCGTTCTGATTTTGGTCCCAAAATCGATCACTGTCTCTTTCTAAAGTGCCAATATGATTATACGAGAAATTCGTAAGGGTTGAGATGTAAAGGTAAGGTAGGGGTGGTCATACATAATTTGAAGTCATGTTTTTGCATTCATATGTAGTTTGATTTCAGGAATAGTGAGTGGAACTAGTAGAGCCATTTAGAACGCTTCTATTTTTAAATTTTTGACCGATTAGCTTTCATAGGCAACTCGGGCCTTACTTTTTACGCGAAAAGTGAATCTTAAATTTTCCCTCTACAAGATTACATACGATCACATACATGCATATGAAAGGCAAGTAGTCGTGTCGTATGTACGGTTAGGAAGATACAGGGGCTCAGTGGAAAGCTTTGCATTTCAATTGTAGTGAACCGGCGAGCTATGCAGCCATTCGCCAAGGGCAACTCTCATGTCACATGAAAGAAAATTAATCGCAAAACAGTCGTTGACACTAAGGTAGGACATGCACATAAAACTAAGTATGAAAGATGTAGCTTTGCCCCATTGTTATGAAATTCGAAGTTTAGAAAAGCAACCGCTGTAACAATTGGGGATTATCGTTGTTATTGGATTCTCTTTAACTTTCAGAAGAGCTCTTCAGCTTCCACCACTCAAACCTTGCAAAATTGAAAGTGTTCAGGACATACCCCCTCTCCCTGGCGTGACGTTTGTATGTCCGAAATTACCCCGTAAAGTAACATTTTTTCAGTTTTGACCCCATAGAAACCATATATTTGACCCAGGTGATTGAAAATTTGACACAGTATGCTCTTAACATGATCGAACCGACAAACAATCACCTCATGAACCGGCCATGGACAGTTTCGGCTTGCCAGTCAAAGTTTTTACGCATAAAGCAAATTTAGGTAAAAGTGGTTGAATACAAAAACCACTCTTTCTCCTGAAGTTTGCCCCTGATTTGGCCTCCGGGTGATTGATCATATGGTTTTAAGTGTGGCCGATGCGATGCGCGCAACGGGACAAGCCTCCAAGTTGGCCGTTAGATGGGAGCATCATTGCAATGCTTCCGGGCAGAGTTGTCCGAAATTACACCGAGTGTCCGAAATTACCCCGTTTCACGGTACAATGAACGGGACATTTTCCAGGTGGAGCGGCGGGACGACGTCGAGGGCGGCGCCCTGGAGGCCAGAACCGACACGCCCCAGTTGAGGTCGAGGTGGTCCGTCGCCAAGGCCCCGGCAGGCCCCCGACCCATGGCCGCTACACGAGAGCCGCAAGACTCGCCAGAGCAGCCAGAGGAAGGGGGCAAGCCCCACGCCCACAGGCGGCCGAAATGCCGGGGCGCCAGGAGCCTCCAAACCCGGCCAACAACGGTAGGTTCTGAGCCGCGATGGCTCTTACTGTGGGTTTCGTCGCTACAAATGTTCTTTGCTTCTTATTAGCTAAGTAGGGGGTGCTACAAAACTAGAACCTATTCTCGGAAATGTTACTTGGGATTTGGATTTGTGTTATTCAAAACATGCCTAAATGACAGAACTCCAGCGTAACAACCATGTAAACTTTGTACATTTTCAAGCTTGCGCGCTTTATTTAAATCAAACCGAGTTTTATAAAAAAAATTGGGCCCGCTTATGATTTAAAGCAAGATTCTAATTAGCTTTCAGATTTTAAGAAAAATACAACTTTTTCAGTGAAGCCCGTATTATATAATTGGGTATAAACACCTTTGTTGTCTTGTGCAGGTGACCCAGATGGTTCCTCGGACGAGTCGTTGCCCGACACGTCGCCGGCGACAATGACAGTAAGTTTATCAGAAAAGGAATGATTTAGTGTAAGTCTCGAGACCACGGCTTGGTTGACGTTGGTCCGAACACACTAAATTACTATGTACTTTTTTTGTGCACAAGCTTCGGACAAAATTGAGCATGCGTTTTGAAATGCACGAAAGTGTGCGCTGTTGCGCTCAAAATTCGTGCAAAACTAAACGTGACCTGAATTTTGTGCAAAGCCTACACTGCAAATCTGTCTACTAAGTACACACTTACAAATGCATACTTACAAATGCATGCATGCATTTGTAAGTGTGTACTTAGTAGACAGATTTGCAGTGTACACTGTAAAAAATAAGTTCGTAAATTTACAAACAAGTTATGGGTAATTTCGTTGCACAAATTATTTGTTAATTCACAACGTTTTTTTGTTTCTTGACGATTTATGAATTATTCTTCACGCATAAGTTTGTAAAATCACAAACTTTTTACACGCTCCAAATTACGTGGACCGCTTTTGTTCTACCTTGTCACGCTGATTAAATGGAGATTAACTTATTTCTGCGTTTTTGTTTTGTTTTATGAAACATCTTGTAAAATGATGAAGGCATCACCATATCTCGTAATTTTACAAGCGATTTGTGCAACGGAATTACCCAACTATTTGTTGTAATTTTAGGAAACTTTTCATATTCTTGTGACCTTGCTGTAGTATTATAGTCATGTTTGAGATGTATTTCGTTCGTACCATTTCATAAGGCAGTGTTCACAAACAAATTTCATAAAATTAAGAAGATTTCTGTGATGAATAATTCATAAAACGGCCTCTACAAATAAATTTCATAAAATAACGAAATGTTATTGTTACTTTACAGGCAATTTGTAAATTTTTTTTTCGTAAATTAACAATAATTTTTTACAGTGTAGGCTTTGCACAAAATTCAGGTCACGTTTAGTTTTGCACGAATTTTGAGCGCATGCTTGCAAGTACACACTTACAAACGCATGCTTGCCCAAGTGCACACTTACAAATGCATGCTTGCAAGTACACACTTGGACGCATGGAGTTATACGGCGTCAAGTATGCGTTTGTGTGTACTTGGGCAAGCATGCGTTTGTAAGTGTGTACTTGCAAGCATGCATTTGTAGGTGTGTACTTAGTAGACAGTTAGATTTGTAGTGTATGCCCAAAAAATCCCCTGACAAAAAGATTTTGCGCCCGTTCCGGGCACAGCCTGAGCAAATCTGGGCACAGCACGGGCGTGTGCGGTCTCAGCACGGGCATAGGGTGGGCACAGCGCGGGCGCATCATCCGAGGGCCGGGCGAAGGCTGGAGCCCGCATGCGGGCAAATGCGAGCAAGTACGGGCAGAAGCGGGCTGCATCCTAAACGCCTTTAGGTTTGTGCCGAGCCCTCGGCTCGTCTATCACCCTGTAGATTAGGCAACCCAAACTACCTCCATGCTCACCCGGCACGAGATGGTACATAGCTTCCAGGCGTGCAGCACTGCCGCAGGCTTCGATTACTCGTGTGCTGCTTTTCCGAGATCGCCCACGAATGGGCCTCGGGCACAAACCGGATGCAGCCGCATCTGCCTGTATGTGTCCGTGCCTGCCCGCATCTGCCCGCATGCGGGCAAGAGCCTCGACCCCGCTTAGATGATGCGCCCCTACCTGCCCGTGCTGTGCCCACCCTATGTGCTGAGCCGAGCCCTCACACGCCCGTGCTGTGCCCAGTTTTGCTCAGGCTGTGCCCGTAACGGGCGCGAAATCTTTTTGTCTGGGGAAGTACAAAGTGAAGGAATAAGGAGCACGCGATTTAACGTGTGTGCCAACAGTGGCTACCTTTGGAAACAGGTGACTAATGCTACACTGTAAAAAAATTTCTCGTAAAATAACGAAAATTTTTTGGGTAATTTTCTTTTACGAACTGTTCGTAATTTTACAAAAATGTCGTTTATATACGACACATGTCGTATATTTTCGAAATGTTTTCGGCCCATTATCAAGATTTTCAGCTTCAACAAGCGTACTGTAAAAAATCTTCCAAAAAAATATTTTTTTTCATCGTAACAACAACTGTTTCAGTTCAAAAAGTTTACGAAATGTTTTCATATATAAACAACAACTTCGCAAAAGAAAATTACCCAAAAAATTTTCGTTGTTTTTGGACAATATTTCGTAAAGCCTCACTGAACTTAACATTTCGTAGTGATATTGTCTGTAAATTCGCCAATTTGGGAAGATTTCCCTCTCTTTACGAAGTGCTTTTGTAGGATTACGATACATTTTGTAATGATTTTGTATAATTGCGATACATTTTGTAAATTGACAAAACAATAACCTTTTTTATGAAACATATCGTGTAGTAATATTTCGTAAATTCACGATATTTTTTTACAGTGTATACTCTCCTAAGTTGCAGCCCGTCGTGCTCTGGTCGCGGCGCAGGACCAGGAGTTCGCTGCTCTGCAAGTTGCCGACCGTTTACGGGCAGTCGCTCAGCGTGAGGAAGCAGAAGCGACAGCCCGTCGGCAAGAGGACCTGACAGTCCTCCGCCGCTTCCAGGCCGACGAGCTCCAGCAGATTCCCCCGGAGGAGTTTGGAGACATCCGGCTGCGCTTTGTACTGCCGGACGGGGCGAGGCTCGAGCGTCAGTTTTCCTCGGCGAGTGACGTTTCCATCCTCCACCGATTTGTTCTGGGCAGCCCGGAAGCGCCAAATTTCTTCACCCTTCTACAGCGGCACAACCGCCAAGTTCTACCGGCGAGAGGGTGCACCATCGCGGAGGCTGTTGGCGGTGTGCCGACCATAATTCAGGTCGAACTTCGCGAAGGTAAGCGCCCGAACCGCGTTTGGAACACACTGTGCACCGAGAACTATTTCCCGGTCTAATTGATGCTGTTGCGTGATCCACAGAGGAGTCAACGGAGTGCGGCATTTGCTTGGCCGAATGGACCGATGCTGTTTTCCACGGGCAGCTACTGCCGTGCCTGCACCGATTTTGCCACCGGTGCATTTTGCGCTGGCTCGCAGGCACGAGGGCCTACTGCCCTACCTGCCGTACTCCAGTCGACCGGGTCCAACGAACAACTTGTAGGTAAGCAAGTCCCAGTGCATAACTATGATGCTTGCCCATGCGACATGCGATATCTGACTAACACCGTTTTTTGTTTTTTTGGCCCGCCCTTCTATTCAAAAAATAGGGGGAGGGCCTATGCATTTGCCTTTGTGTCTGTGTGTTGTTGTTGTTGTTGTTGTTGTTGTTGTTGTTGTTGTTGGCGTCTGTGTACAAGGAAGGAGTTGAGCTAGAGTAACCAGATTTGGAGGGTACTTCAGGAGTACCGTCCAAACAAATAATCCGGTGGTGCAAATCCCGTCCGGGTCGCACAAGGGCTGCTGCAGGTGCATCATGGTTTACATGAGCGGGAGGGGGATTTCCGCCATTATTGGTGCTAGCAGGGCACATAGGGGTATTTTTGGAATCGGGGCGACGAGACAAGATGAATGGACCTGGTCCCGACCCCATCGGCCGCTTTTACAAGTTGGCCAGATCAGGATCTTCAAACAAGCTAGGGCCCGCCCTTCCGTCGAACCGAATTGCCAGCTCCGCTTCACTGCGCCGGCAACTCGGTTCGACAGGGGGCCGGCCCAGCTTGGCCTGCCGGCGGCCTTTTCTCGGGCCTTCGGCCCTCGCATCAGACCCAACTTGGCCAGTCGAAGGCCCGGGCCTTCGGCCCGCTCGCATAACACACCACGTGAGCGGGTAAAGCAAAGTTATCGATGTACCATCGTGACTTAGGCCCGCCCTTCTATTCACAATATGCATAGTCCTTACACTTTTTACTCCAACTGTCCATAGAATATGCCCATTTCGTTTGTCTCTTCGCCCTCATTCCGAAAATACCCATATTTGCCATGCTACTGCAACTCCTTGCAATAGAGGCACAGCAGGAGCGCAAAACGAGTCCGTCGCACTTTTTCCCATAACTCATGAAGGCGGGCTCCTGGACCCCCCTTCCGACCCCTCGTTGAAGAGGTCTTGCCAAGACCTATCGAAAACTTAAGTAAAAATTTTCAGTCGGTCGACCCCCTTTTTTCAAGATCCTGATGTGACTAATAGACGAAGTCGGGCTCCTGGACCCCCTTTCCGACCCCTCGTTGAAAAGGTCTTGCTGAGACCAATCGAAATCTGCAATATTTTTTTTTAGTCGGTCGACCCCCTTTTTTGAAGATCCTGATCTGGCCAACTTGTAAAAGCGGCCGATGGGGTCGGGACCAGGTCCATTCATCTTGTCTCGTCGCCCCGATTCCAAAAATACCCCTATGTGCCCTGCTAGCACCAATAATGGCGGAAATCCCCCTCCCGCTCATGTAAACCATGATGCACCTGCAGCAGCCCTTGTGCGACCCGGACGGGATTTGCACCACCGGATTATTTGTTTGGACGGTACTCCTGAAGTACCCTCCAAATCTGGTTACTCTAGCTCAACTCCTTCCTTGTACACAGACGCCAACAACAACAACAACAACAACAACAACAACAACACACAGACACAAAGGCAAATGCATAGGCCCTCCCCCTATTTTTTGAATAGAAGGGCGGGCCAAAAAGGGGGTCGACCGACTAAAAAAAATTATTGCAGATTTCGATTGGTCTCAGCAAGACCTTTTCAACGAGGGGTCGGAAAGGGGGTCCAGGAGCCCGACTTCGTCTATTAGTCACATCAGGATCTTCAAAAAAGGGGGTCGACCGACTGAAAATTTTTACTTAAGTTTTCGATAGGTCTTGGCAAGACCTCTTCAACGAGGGGTCGGAAGGGGGGTCCAGGAGCCCGCCTTCATGAGTTATGGGAAAAAGTGCGACGGACTCGTTTTGCGCTCCTGCTGTGCCTCTATTGCAAGGAGTTGCAGTAGCATGGCAAATATGGGTATTTTCGGAATGAGGGCGAAGAGACAAAAGAAATGGGCATATTCTAAGGACAGTTGGAGTAAAAAGTGTAAGGACTATTGCATATTGTGAATAGAAGGGCGGGCCTAAGTCACGATGGTACATCGATAACTTTGCTTTACCCGCTCACGGTGTGTGTGATGCGAGCGGGCCGAAGGCCCGGGCCTTCGACTGGCCAAGTTGGGACTGATGCGAGGGCCGAAGGCCCGAGAAAAGGCCGCCGGCAGGCCAAGCTGGGCCGGCCCCCTGTCGAACCGAGTTGCCGGCGCAGCGAAGCGGAGCTGGCAACTCGGTTCGACGGAAGGGCGGGCCCTAGCTTGTTTTGCAGGTCGCGGTAAATCGCTTCGCACATTTTTTGTACTTACATCAATAGAGAATTTCTTTGCAAACTCAAATGTGTGGAAAGGCATCCCTGCATTTCCACTCCGCATGTATGCAGACATGCCTTAACCTGAAACATGCTTTGCTTGCACTCGAGTTTGTAGTGGGTTTGATTAAAGACAAAATCTTGACATCATGATTGCAAAGAAAATAGTTCGTGAGGGTATTCGTAATACTATCCCGCAGAATACTTAATACTGCGATTAAATTTTCTTCACAAGGTTTGAAGAGTGCATGAACTGTCCGTGACCTAATGAGACTGAGTAATTTTATGTGAAGGTATCGTGTTTTATTCAGATTTTTAATTTTATAGAGATCTCTTTGTACTTTAGTTCTGGAAAATGCAGGTGATGAGCTGCATAATTGTGATGCAATTTTTGTAAACCCGAGAGTGGTTTCTGTCACTGTCTGTTCCGCATCTATACGGGGCGTCCCATGGCTGGACAGAGAGATGGAAACGGCTAGCAGAATCTGAATCGCTCTGCCGCTTCGTACACTGTTAAAAATCCTCCGTTCTCACACAGAGCGGTTCAGCCGTAAGCAGCCAAAATACTTTTGCTTGTTGCCGGGAAACGAGGAATATTTGGTCTAACCTGAGAGTGTCATATGATTGGCTGAGCGATAGCGAAGCCCTTGCCGTGTTTGGGCGCTCCAAAAAGTGACTGGTCGTGCGTCTGTCTGTCTGTCCCTCTGTCTCTCTGTATGTAATCACTCACGTTTCTCAGCAACTACTGGACGAATAGTACCCAAATTTCACACCTGATGTCTCCTAAACATCCTACAGGGGGAGTTTATCTCAGATTAACAATTATCATCGTTTGAAATATTCAAAACATCGTTTTGAACTAGGTAATTAGCGTGGTTAGGTTGGTAGCAGTGTGTGGTTGACCAATTTCTCATACCGGCTGCCGCGCTTGCAAGCCGTCTGCAAGACGGGACGGCACTTATGCAAATAAACAAACTAAAGAGCAAAGGGGTTCTCAAATAGGTACTGAGATAGTTTTTTAACATTCTAGAATGATTGAAACCCTTCCGAAGTGTCAACAGAGGAAAATACGGAAACTAAATGTGAGAATGGTTTACGTGTTTCGTTCCCCTCTCCCCCCTCCCCCGTCACAGGGGAATCTTCCTTCAGGTCAGTGCACTGTGTGTAGTTGTGGATTGTAAATAGAATGTTTTCTTTGCCTTTGTGTGCATTTACTGATTTTATTCTCTCTTATACTATCCTTATTTTTAAATTTCATAGTAAATCAAATCAGGTAAATGCATAAATAAATTCTGTTGAAATTAGAAGAAATGTTAATTGTCTTGGTTTGTCTCGGGGAAATGACATGCTATTGCAATGCTGCAAGCTAACATAAATATTCTAGTACTAACATCTATTGATTAAAAGAATCCATAAATAGATGTATTTAGTGCAGTAAATAATCCATATATTTAGTGCTAACAGATTGAACTGATATTCGGTTCAATGAGACGATTCAGGTTTTGAGCGGTGGGTGACTTGGTAATTGGATTTAATGACACGATTCCTTTCACTTCACCAAAGCTTGTGTCCGACAACTGGAACTAAGTTTTGGTAAGGGTTTTAAAAGCGGGGTCTCTGAATGTAAGCACAAGTTAATACTATACTGTATTCTTTTACTCTAAAGACAAAATATCACGAGGCATGAATAAGGTAAATTATGTTGGCGTATTGAGCAACAAGTGGCCTCTGCATTTGACTTTATGAGACGATTCACTAAAATTTTACAAAACTTGTTCTCCGTCGAATGCTTCAGATCAGCCTGCCCTAAACTGAGTCACTTTAAAATAAACTATGATTACATATTCCAGTCTATATTGTTTAATTCACTGGTTTAAAATGAAAAAAGACAAAAGGCTTCTCAAATATAACTAATAAATTTGTGAATTTATAGTTTGAAGAAAAAGATGTATCGAATAGTGAGTCAAGCAGACGAGTACCTAATTAAGCGATTCAATGCTGGCAATGGAATGTTACTCGACTGAAGGAATCGCATTGGTGTGGCATCAGGGTATTGGTGACGACAAAGGGTGATCCATGAAGACCAACCCAGACCCATTCTTTACCCATAAATTTACCAATTTGATATCGATATTTTTTAATCGAATCTTTATTGATTCTTGGAGTTTTTGGAGTGCTGATTATGAAAACCACTTCCATTTCTACTTCAGACTTTATTTTCATCTCAAATTAGGTCATTTGGGACCAAAATTTCAGGTCGAGTTTATATTGTTTCCTGCAGTGTTTGATGAGCTGAACTCAAAAATAACTTCCAAATTTTTTTTAGACTCACGCTTTACCCAATTTGGACCAAATTTGGACCAAAATTTTTGAATCGAGTTTGATGTTGATCCCAACAGTTTTTCGTGTGCTGATAACGAAAATCACCTCCATTTCGACTCAAGACTTGTATTTCCATCCCAAATTAGGTCATTTTGGACCAAAATTTTCAAATCGAGTTTTTTATTGTTTCCTGCAGTTTTTGATGCGCTGAATTCAAAAATGACTTCCAAAGTTTTCCCAGACTCACGCATTACCGAATTTTGACCAATTTTGGACCAAAATTTTGGAATTGATTTTGACGTTGATCCCAACAGTATTTTGTGTGCTGATAACGAAAATCACTTCCATTCATACCCCAGACCTACATTTCACTCAAGATGGGCCCACAAGCTGCACATTTCGTCTACCTAAGCAAAGTCCAAAGTGCACAAACTAATTCGCG